AACCCTATACTGATTCTGTTCTTTGCTGCAATAACCCAATTTCACCCTCAAGGATTAATAAAAGTCATGTTTGTAGCCTGTTCACCAAAATAAAAATGTGGATAAGACTGGAAACTGAGGCAATACCTATTTCTGCGGCACCACAGTTTTGACATCACTCCTCTATAACTCCAGGAAAAAGGAGTTAAAGTGCTGACAGAAAGCATAAGAGACAAATCTCTGAGCTCAGGTACCAGTAACTCTGACAGCTTCCAGTGCTTCTAGGATGCTTCAGCACGTTGTCAGAACAATCTGTTGAATGATGACACTTGTGGTAAGACTGTAAGCCAAGCTTTCAGCTACATGGCTTGCCTAAACGCTTCCAAGTAGTTTCACACAACTCCTTGCCAACAAAGTCCTGAATGAGAACTCCATTGTGACGATCCGATCTCATTATCCTCTGCTAGGCCATTGTGGGAATATCCTGGCAACTCACTAATCAGTGCCTATGTCAATGACAAGATTGTTTACGGGGGAATGGAATCTCCTTTGGGAATGTCACGGCATCCTCAGAGGCCTGTGACTGCGTACCGAGCCTGGAGCGCGATGCATTTTCACACTAAGAATGAGTCTCTGCGGCTCTGCGTATGTGTGGGACAAGGCCCGAGGATAGCAGCGTATGCATTATGCATAATTAATGAACATGCGGAAAGGAATCACAATGGATGCCCACACAATGCGTCAGTATCTACGGCTGGGGTCAGAGGTCATGTCTGGCTTTGTGGGTGGACGAAGACAAACAAGGAGACCTTTGAAAGTGCAAGAGGTTTCATGTCCATAGCAAGAAAACAAAAATATATTGGTTGGTTGTGTAACAGCACAAACTTTTAATTTTTGTTAGATTTAAATGCATACTACTGAATTAATTATGGTATACTCCTTTATCAGTGTCTCTCTTTTATAAATTACTGTATACAACAAGCTGCTGACGTGGTGTGTCTGAGAAAACATATTTTGAGGCTACGTGAAAGTTTCAAAACATAATGGTATGTTATTGACATCAAGTCAAGCCCAGGTCAAATGACACTGAAGTAGTCACAGGTATTTATCAGCTCCAGCTCCGATCGGTGTGGCTCCTGTGTTTATGTAGTATTAGCATGCTAGGCTAACAGTCCATCAGCTGTGTGACTTCACATCCACGCTGTGACGTTATTCAGAGCACACAAACACAGTAAACACACCTGTCACCTGCCCAGCACGGTGCTGTTAAACCAGAAACAGACCAGCTACACCTTATTTTTACACACCTCATGGGCTACACACAGCATGCCGCTAACTTGGCTCTATGGTGTAGCAATATTTATTACCACCCTACTAACTAAATACAAAAACACAGCCAAAGTGGAAGCGACCTTAGGCAAGTTCAGACCACTCGACAGTGCAGTTACACGTTAACTCACGCAGTCTGCTTCTCTGCTGCTCTTAGTAAGCCTTCTTCTCTACTGGAACCAGAATTGATGCATTTTCTATGCCTCTCCCTTTCTCATGTATTACTTTTACATGTCCACTAGTACAAAAACTTAAGACTAAATTCAACAGCTTAACTTGTGACACAGCCACAAGCAGCTACTATTTGTACCCTCTGTCTGTTACGATATGGCTAATCCTGAAGGTACCACAGCAGTAAATCTGAAATCGTTTGAGTCTTATCTGTTGCACCACAGTGTGTTGTTATTTCAGCTGCAGCTGGCTGTCCAAACTTGTAACACAGACATTAACTGTGCTCATCTGCGTCCATCTAGTACCTTATCTTTGTAATGTGAGCAAAGACTTGTTGGGAGAAATAAACATACTCACAGCGGCCACAAATGAAACAATTCTGACATTTCACTATTTTATTAAGGACTACTCAGCCCCTTCCTCATCCTAAACAAACCGGATTTAAAGCAAATGAGCCAAATTAATCAGCGTTTATACTCTGTCCCTGTGTTCACTGAGAAGGCTGTTACATTAAGACACAAGGCCAAACAGCTCCTTCTTACAGCTTCTATGTTCAGATCTCAGCTGTCCTTTAAAACGAGTCACATTCATCTGCTGCACCAAATTGAACAAAGACAGAGTAGAAGCGCCGGTTTGCTGGCAGTAATCACCTGGCACAACGGCCTAAAGCTTGATTTATACTCCTGCGTAGGGTCTGGGTAGCCTACGTTGTAGCTACGCATGTAGGCAGGCATTTATACTTGTGCGTCCGTCAATCTGCAATTAAACCCCCAAACGCTAGTCAGCAGTAGCGCTACAGCTTCCACTGTGTTGACTTTTGCCGGCCGGGCAGGCTTACTTCCGGTTTAGCCCTCCGCTAACGTGAATGGGGGTAAAATTGTAAACGTGTGGCTGGCGTAGCCTTTTCAAATGTTACCGACCGAGTGGATCACATTCTGATAGTGAAACGAGTCATTTCACTCAGGTTGTGACGGTCAAATATATTGATCCACCCTGTTACAACCGCTGTTTTGGCCGCTAGTAAAAGTTACTTCAAAGCACGGGCACTTCCTGTCGGCTCGGAGGTATTGCGAGGCTACCCAGCCGACCAATCACAGAGCTTATGGTCCACGTCGACTCAACGTGTAGTTACATTTTTGAGGAGGTGCACGTCAGGCTATGCCGTAGGTGATGGCGTAGGGTAGGGGGCTACACAGAGGCTATGCCATCGATTTGACGCAGAAGTATAAGGGTTGGTAGACCTGGCAGCTTCAAAGAACCTTCATAAGTTTTTCAAGTGGTCTGAATAGAAATGTTACTGTGGCATAGCTCAGACGAAAAAAGGCAGTGTTTAGCCAGACAAAATAATTCACAGTGACTCATTTGATGAGTAATGTGTACTTAATAGTGTGTCTGTAATATTTATTTGGCTGTTAAATTTCTCCTCAACTAGAAAGAAATCTAAGAATTATATCAAAATGAATCATCTGGCTTTGATGCCCTGTCAGCTAAGAACAGAATAGCATCTGTTCCCATCATTGTATGTGAATGATGATCAACATCTATAAAACACCTCAGTGAATGGTGCAAAGTCTCAGATTCAAAACTACCTTTACTGCTGATGTCTACAAAGCTCACTACAAACATGTGATTTACATGTAAAGTGATTGTTGTGATAATTGTGTCAAGCTATAAAAGCAACCCAACCCTGGACTCGTAGACTGGTAGGCTATAACATTCATACTGATCAATGTCCCACTTGCTCAAAAGTCTCACCAGTGTGATATCAGATTTCAATACCAGAAAGAATCAAATTTCTAGCTGCAGTTAGTCTGCTGCTAAAGATTAGGTTAGTACACTGTATACTGCTCCTTCTGGCCACTCATTTTGTAAATTACTCAAATTCACAGCACCACTTCACTCTGCGGATGTATAGATTTTTGACAGAAACGTCAGATTTCGTAACCAAGTGCATCATACTGTAGCCTTTTTATTTTTCCCAGTGTGCACCAGAGAGACAAAGGGTTGTGAAAATGCAAGGGGGTACATTTAAATCCAAACAAAGACAAACAGGGTTATTTCTTCATACAAGAAATGACAACCAACTCATGTCGAGGGCTGCATCAAAACAGCATCAAGCACCTACATGTTAGGAATACTAGCACAGTTTTACGAATGCAGATGTGACGTTATGGTCCAGGGGGCACAGGTTTGTTTCCTCCCGCAGCACTGACGACACTGAACCGTGACCCTCAACGGCAAAATACATAATGCACCATGGCTTGCAAACTGTTCCACCCCAATCATGGTGAAGGCAGAAATGTAATAGGTTTTAGAGGTGTGGTGCTAGAACTAATTAGTCATGCTAACCAGGAAATGATGCACAAGGGAGATGATTGGAAAACACTTAGACCTCCTGAGAAAACTATGCTCAAAGTACCCTTGAGCAAGACATTTACTAACCAAATGTTTTGCTGGAGATGATGCTCAGTGGTGCAGACGCTCCCTTGTTTGTAGTTGGTTTGCCTCCTTAAATAAGTATTAAAGGGTGTCACACATATCTGATTAAATCCTAATCTAATACAGGAAGTGAAGCATCAGAAGACCCCTGGGACTGTGGATCAAATAACATGTGAGGGAGTGGGTGGCTTTTAAGACAGTCCCCTCATGGATCACACCTAATTTAGGATTCAACATTTCAAATGAAATCACTTTAAAAGAGAATGCCAAATAGAAGATCCACTATTTTCTAGCAGAAGCAGTGAAGGCCTTACAGTATGTAGAACAGTGTAGCACTTGTTTCAGTGAAATCAGGATATCTTCAATAGGTAATGCAACACTCACAAATGAATGGTTTGCTTTTAGACTCTCACACATGAACTTGTGTACGGATAAGACCACAAACCAGACTCCGTTGAAAATCTTGCAGTTTAACGTTTTCTTCATTCGCTGGTCTGCGTAAATTGCTCAAAGGACATAAATACGGATCTACCACGACTGTATGGGGTCTTCATGTGAATGCGGCATCATCTGGCACGTGAACATGAGTACATTTAAAAACTTCCTATCTTAGTTCACGTGGCTCGTTATAGAGTTTAGTGGCAGCTGGTTGTAAAGCCGAACAAAATATGTAATATTAACTGAAATACTGTAAGTGTTGTAAGATGAGTGCCGAACTCAACGTGGCATTAAATTGGCCTATTTTTGAATGGGGTCCTGCACACAGTTCTGTCAGTACGGGAGGATTAGCCAACCCAATGCAAGCCATGACTAGCTGGGGAGACGTTCTTCGCGCTTTGGCCAGTAACCCACTTCTCACACACACACACACACACACACACACACACACACACCACCTCCACTCTCTCTCTCTCACACACACACACAATACACACTTGCGCGCCGTCTAACATTAGCAGAATTCACGGTCTGGTCACTAAAAACCAACTACAGCTCTACATAACGTTATCTAGCGAAGTGATGTGAAAGAAGGCAAAGCACACACCCCGAGCATGTCGCAGTAATGTGCTAAGTTAAAGTACCTGTGTTTTGTGGTGGCGGCTGTGGTCGTTGACCACCGTTGGTTGGTGAGATGAGCTTAGCTTTCGCTGTCTCCGTCTGGCGCTTCACCGCTGTTTAATTCTCTCCTCATCACAGCTTAACCCAGCAGACTCGAACACAGCAGGCAGAAAGTATTAGCGAATATTTTGTTTTTCAATTACTCTCTCCATGCTGAGGGAAACGGCGCCAGTTAACGTTAGGTTGACCCTAAACAAAAAAAAAAGAGGCTCCCCCGGGACAACAAGGCTCACGGGCTGCGTTCAGACATTCAGACAGTTTCTGCTCTATTCTGGGGGAGAAATAAAGACTACCACCGTTCTCCAAAAATTCCTTCCCGTTTGAAACAAAAGTCGGCTATCGCCGGAGTAACAGGACGCTATTTCCACGTTTAAACTTGTCGATAGGCTCTTCTCCGTGTTCCACTCAATGGAGAGCAGAGCACACCTCGGAGTGGAGACTGGCTGGACCGGAGCAGAGGAGCAGCGCTATCTCTGTGCCGCATTCACGTGCTATCGGAAACGTTGTGCACGAACTCCAACGACGGAGAAAGTTGGACGAGGGAAAGGGCGAAGGCGTTATCATATTCCACTCAGGAACCTGCCTGGTTGTGAATTAAAATGGTGGAGACGATGAAAGTCGCATAATGAGTTAATTTAATATTGCTTAGATAACCTAACTGAATTACATTTCTCCCATTCTTGCTGCTACCATAGCATAAACAATCTTACAAGAAATCCGTTTCTAAAACAAACCAACGGTCACATGATAACTTTCTGTAATAAGGGTTAGATAAAAACATGATAAATGACATAATAAAAACATGAAATCTCTCTTTTCTGTGGAGTGACTAGTAACTAGTAACTAGCCAGACATAGTACACAAATGAACCATTTGTAGTCACAGTTCTAGTGAATAAATGCTATTGTTCTCAGCCTAAATGGCCAAGAGCGTTTACCTCCAATTTGACTGCCAGGCTGGGCAATGTATCACCCACAGGGCCTTAAACAGAGGCAATACATTTGTAGTAATTCTAAAGTTAGATGGTAGGAACCTATGACAGGAACAGATGAGGTGTACCTGAAGGCAGCATGCAAGTAGCAAAGTGCGACTAAGAGCCCATCTGTGTTATGGGGGCTGATGCACCGTTTTAATAAGGCCTCCATCTGCAACAATAGCGAGGGAAACATAATTAAACTGTCAGAGCATACGTTTTTTTCAAGAATGAACTTCCACACTCAAAGAAGAGTCTTGGTTTTCTTACTAAACTATTGGTTAAAGCTTCTCTTAAGCTTTTAGTGTTAGCATTTAGTGTTATATAGTAAAAAAAACAAACACTGGCTCTTATGTAGCATTTATTTAGTATCACAGTATATGAAACGACCTGGGTGTTTGGAAGATAACAGCTTTGCTGCATTAACACATTGTTTAGTTTTCTCCAACAGCTTAGTGTTTGTGCTGTGCAGCTTGTTCAGCCAGGGTGCATAAACAGCTGCTGTAGATGGTCAGATGAACAATGTAACTCCACTCTTCCTACACAGTTTGCACATCATTTTAACACAAACAACTCACAAGAAAAGTGTCAATTAAGCCAGAGACAGCAGATTTAACCATGTGAAATGTTGTGAGAGATGTTGTAATCACAGATTTGAGAAGTGAGAGCTGTTTCAGTCACATGCTCATATAGATACTGTACAAAGGCAATGTGATCTGAGAGCTACACACTTCCCTTCGGAGGATGATTCAAAGATAGAACTGAGTCCAGCACATACGGCTGTGATATGACAGCTAAGTACATTTTTTGGCCCCTATTTTCCCTCACCAGTGTCACTCACACATCTCAGTTATTCAGTGTCAGTGCTCTCAACTACAAACCTCACCTTCTTGGTCTTTCATATTAATAGCCCCTGTGTCCACTAGGATGTCCCTGTTTTTTGTCAGCACCACTAAACAGAAGCTGATCCTGGATCACACTGTTGTTTGAAAAAAGCTTCTTCCTATAAAAGCAGAAATATTCGTCATCTGAAACTGAACAGAGGCTCCGTCACACAAAGAATAGGCATTAATGCAAGATGTTTTTAATGACCTGAAACAATGCTGAACAGAGGAATGGTCCAAAACACATTTTAACTTTTATCCAAGTCTGGTCATCAGTTACATGCATGTTGTCATTTTTAGGTATGTTCTTGCCTATGTCCAGCCAGAAGAAACGTCCAGCAGTGAAATAAATGACCAGCAACCACCAAATACTGACCAGTAATGGATTTCTGCACCTGCATGCTTGACTTCATTCTCTAACGCACACTAACAAACTCTGCCTGTATGAGTCATACATTTTGTACTTGCTCTTTTAACTCACATATAAAAGGTTCTGTCAGTCATGTACTAATGGCATGAGTGACTTCTTTCATTTTAATAAGCCAGTGGTGGAATGTAAGTACATTTACTCAAGTACTACTCAAGTACAAATTCAAGGTACTTACAATGTATTTCCATTCCATTTTATGCAACTTTATACTTTTGCTACGCTACATCTCAGAGGCAAATCTTGTATTTTTTCCTCCGCGACATTTACTACGAGTTAGGCCTTCCAGTCAATTCAAATTATTCATATGCTTCCTGTCTAATGAAAACCATGTTCTGATAACATGAAGGATTAAGTGTTCCTTTGAGAAGAGTCTCCTACTGCTTCAGCTAAATAAACTATTTAAGCCCCACTTGAATCAGCTGGAAAGTGCATCACCACAGAGCTGAAAACTGGCCGGTTTTTCTGAGCTCAGGAACAGCTCACTTTTTAGAGATACGATGTGACAGAGCTTTTACTTAAGTAAGGTTTTGAACTCAGGACTTTTACTTGTGTATTTTCACAGTGTGGTATTGCTACTTTTACCTGAGTTTAGGTTTAGAGGTAATGGATGTGAATACTTCTTGCACCACTGCAATAAGGTAGGCTACATGATGTACTTGTTAAATGGGTATACTGTATATTACTCTCTCGCTTTATAACACATTCTTTATTAATGTTCATTTCTCCTTTGGCAACTCAAAGGCATGCTGTCATTACATTTGTTCATTTGCACAGCTAAGCTGCGAAGCCGAAGCTGCTGCTCGGGCTGGCTAAGCAAATTTGACCAGGTGTAGCCATTTGGACATTTGCATCTAATTACAGTTATGATCCATGTGAGGACAGAAAGTAGAAGAGTAGCATTGTACTGGGGGGAAAGAGCCTTCTTCCACTGCTTTCCATACTGCTTCAATCTGTTTCAGCTTACATCCAGATCTGGCAATTGTTGCTTCTGTCTCGTCAACAGCATTTTGGTGATGTCCGTTTTTTCTTGTGCCACTATGCAACAACTCTCATCGCCCTTTCTGTCCAACACAAGGAATGACAGATGCACCATGAGATAATAGAACCTTCACTCTGTATTCCTTTTTCTTTACCAGCAAGGTTTCCTTTAACATAGGATACATTCTTTCTAGATATCGAGAAAGAACACTCATCACGATAAATCTTGTGAAATCTGATACGATTTTAGCTGTCTGCACACTGCATTAAAGCAAAAGATTTTTCTCAGGAGTGACACGTTTCTGCTTTATTTCTTCTCTTTGTAGGGCTGTAAATTTTAAATAACACATTTAACAGATGTAGCAATTGCAGGCTATCATTTTCTACATCACTAACCAGCCCGTCTTTACTAATCATCTGTTACTCTCCGATTAATGTAGGTTGGCCTTTCCTTACATAAATGATTTTATTTTTTATCCAGAAAATCTACTTCATAAAGACATTTGATCCAAACCTGCCCTCTAGTGTCAGCATTAGCTCCATGCAGTCACAACTGTACTGTGGGCATGCCATATGCCCATCAGCGTGGCATTTACTGATGACAATCTTGATGCATTTGCATAAACTAAACACGCAGTGATCAAGCACATCAGCTTTATGTACAAAGGATTTATTGTAGTGAAAGCTGCTGTATGATATTTATCAGTTTGAATTTTTTTTAAGTAAGAAAAATATGCAAAACCAACCACAATGTGCCTGCATCCATGTCATGTTAGCGAGAGAGAAGTTAGCTTGGGTTACAGATAATCAGATAGCGTCTCTCAGTTACAGTAGGTGTGAATTTCTTTGTGACTGACACACTGAGACAATAGATGTGTTAATCAGAAAGAGAAGCCCAGGAAGTTTTGTACAAATCATGCCATGCCATTTAAGATGCATTTTTCAGTTACTCCCTTTTAATTCAAAGTAAAACAAGAATATAAAATGATTCAAATCCACATTTATAGACAGGAAGATCAAATATGACATGAACATAAACAAAAGGAGGGAGGAGGGTTGCATTTACATTGTGCATTTACACTGTACATTTCATCATTCTGTCCTATTTTAATCTCAGTTCACGCTCTCTTAGATACTGTGTCTGTACCAGTACTGGCAAAAATGAAAATCAGTCACATAAAAGAACAACAAAAAATATGAATAATATAATGTTGCTTTGGGTTTCTTGAATGGTACTTTTTGTCCCTTCAGCAGATTTCAGTGAAATGGTATTGTATCGATGAACGTAACTGCCAAAATAAAGGATGTCAAGTTAGGCAAGGAAATAATGCAGAATACAGTCTATACAATTTATAGACTGTAAAAAATGATTAGGGGGAAAGGTGGGGATTTTTGCTGAAGGGAGGTTGGCTGAAGGAAAGGATCTTGAATTTTTCCATGCCCCAGATTTATATTTTATTTAGGATATGCAGAAGATTTTTGCTCAAGTTGAAACATTTTCAACTAGCATGTCTTTGTGTCAATTTGCGCCGCCTCCGTCAAATTTATGTCTAGCTGCATATTACATACACTCTGTATGCAATTGTGTGACCTATAAAATTTGCCTAATGTTCTATAAAGCGCCATTTGTTTCACAAGCCAGTGGTCACCTACAAAACGTTAAATGTACAGTATCATATAAAATTAATCTATAATATCATGCATGTTCAGCAGTCTAGTGTTCCACCAAGAGGTGAAGCAAAAATATTACAATGTTGCCTCTTGTTGGCTAATTCATAGACAGCGTTAATAACTGTTCATTAACTTTTCAAAAACAGAGAGCAGCTGGAATGCTGGGTAAACAGAACGCTCTATTTGTTATGTTTACCATAAATTTGGCAATTACCAATTCAACTCCTAATGTATGATCTGAGCTATTCTTGGTTCATTAACACATTAAGCTTGAAATCAGGGTTGAGTTGAGAAATTAGGAGTAAAAAGTGTTTTGTTTTTTTACAAGGGGAAGGGAGGGTCCAAACAAATATTAATAACCCTGGGGAGGGTCTTATCTTTTTTAAAGTACATATTTTTCATTTTATAGTATAAAGTATTTGTTTAGGGCTTTTTGGCCTTTATTTATGACAGGACAGTTGAGACAGACAGGAAATGTGGGGGAGAGAAAGAGGGATGACA